TGTATTGGATAGTTGAATTTCATAAATGGTGGTTTCTTGCACCCATTCGATAGAAAAAATGGAGTTTTCTAGCGAAATATTCATGTTTTTTGTCGACTAGTACAGTGAAATTGGCTGAAAATGGGGCTCAAAGTGGGCAAAATCGCCGATGCGTAAACATCGCCGAGGCCGCTAACTTTGCGAGAGCATAATTCCGTAAGTTTTCTATCAAATTTCAAACTTTTGGTGTCTTTATGATCGGGAAAAGATTCTCTATCTTTTCATAAGAGAATTTTTTTTTTTTTTTAAATTTGGCTGACCCTGAGAACGAGTTTCGGAGAGGGCCTGTCGACCCTCAAAGGGTTAAAATCGCCAAGTAACAGAAGTGGTGGCGGTAATGACAAAACAAGAAAGGCAATATCTGGGATAGATAATGTCCGAGAAGGAGAGAGATACAAAGAACAGAGTGTATACCACCTATGCAAGTGGATACGGGTTGCTGTGTAATGCAGCGAAGTACGAACAAATAGCTGATGGTACGGAATATCAATGCGTAGAAGAAGAGCACTTTCATTAAAGGTCCCCTCAGGAAAAGGATCTGAAGAATGCAATAAATTACAGCCTGACATGGGATAGATAATGGCAGTGTAATTTTGGTTCCTGTAAGCAAACACCAACAGGGGAAAACTGGGAGAGCAACATCTGAAGCTCACCCCAATTACTCCTGAGGCCGTGAATATTCCACTGTAAATAGGCCATGATTGGTAACGATACAGATACCTGAAATCCACAGGTAAGGGTACCTAAGGACTAGAAGGGTTAGAAAAGTCCACATGCGGTGGCAAAGAAAAACATTCAAGTAGCGAAGGAACGGTGCGTTGTGAAGAAAGGAGTTGCGCAGATGGAGAAGAGGAAAGAGAAGGAACAGAGGGTGGATCAGTGTCCATTGATGGTTTGGTCTCTGCAATATATTCAGAGATTGCTTCAAGTGTTTCAGAGTTCAGAGATGTCGTATGGGAGACAATATTGGAGATGGAAGGAGGAGGAGTCTGAGTAAAGATCGGAGCTGTAACGGACAGTACCAAGGTAGGAGGGGGTGAAAGGGTGGAGGGAACTGGAGAAGTGTGGGAGGGGACAGAAGAGGCAGAAACCCAGGAGGTGGCAGAAGAGGAAGAAGCTTGGGAGGGGACAGGGGAGGAAGGCACAGTACGAGGAGGAGGATGAACCTCCACACTTGTAACAGAGCCAGTGAAAGGGGAAGACCTAGGTACAGAGACCGGGGAGGTAAAATGTGGACGTGGATGAAGGGAAGGAAAGTTGTTGGACCTCTGAGAAGTAGAGGGACGATTGGGAGGAGGTGTCGTACGAGATCTTGTCGATACTGGGGTTTGTGAGGGAGAACACAAAGAAGTGAGGACAGACTGAGGTGTTGAAGTAGGGATGTCTGAGCCCAGGACAGCAAAAGAATTAGATACAGGAGTGACTATGGGACTGCCAACCGCAGATGAGGCTGCAGAAGATGGGACCCCAGAAGTGGGGGGACGTTTTGAAACACGAAAATAAGAAACACGGGGCAGTCTCCCTTGGAGGCGGAGATGAGAACTGCCATAGCATAAGGGAGACCTTCTGCCTCTTTGAGGCAACGAATTTCCCGCTCATTTAAGTAGACCTGTCAACGGCGAGAGTACGAAGGGTGAGCCTCATGACAATTAAGCAAGAGGGAGGTCGACTGCAAGATGTATTAGAATGGTCATCGGCAACACATACTAGGCATTCAGCTATAGATCTACAATATCTTGCTGGGTGGCCAAATCGCCAGCAATTCCTACACTGTTGCGGTGTAGGGAACACCTTCCGAACTTGTAACTGATGTCCTGCTACATAAACAGAGGATGGGAGTTCATGGCTGTCAAAAGTTAAACAAGCCACATCGCAAGGGTATCGTCTTTGCCTGCGGCCGGGAAAAACATAAGTGTCTACCTTGAGAATTGGGAGATATTGGAGTTCCAGCTGCTCGAGAATGTCATTGCCACATGTCTGGAAAATCTGTTGGACTATGGTATGGGGCCGAATAACAGTACCACTACAAGAATTGAGGGAATTATGTTTTTCGATAGTGATAGAAATAGTACACAAATAACCCGCACATAAAAGAAAGAAGCTTACTGCGACATTTCGGTCCGACTTGGACTTGTAAATGGACCAAGTTGGACTGAAACGTCATCGTAAGCTTCTTTCTTTTATGTGCGGGTTATTTGTGTATCGTTCCAGTCACGGTATTGTGCCTTTTTTTGTTATTAGTGATAGGAATAGTATCGATATGTGAAAGAAGAGAAAGATCATGAGCTTGGGTAGAATTCTGGACTGTGATGATGCACGTACCACTCTTAAGAGCATGAAAGGAAATATATCTGCCAACGTGGCGTAGGAGCGCTTTGTCAATACTGTGGTCAGAAAGATAGGCAGTAGAAGAAGTCGGTCGTAAAGTAAAGAATTTAGTCCATTGTGTGGTCCGAAACTGAGTGTGGAGAGGGAGTGCATGACGTGTCAGTCTTTTCCGAGTAGAATGGGAAGGTAACGAAGTAACATCGTCAGGAGATTGTCGTTGGCGTTTAGAAGTGGGACCAGAGTCGGTCCAATGTGGGACGGGCCGGCGATTCGAAAATCGCCGCACCATAGAGGGAGAGGCTGGAAACATAGTCAAAGGAGAGCGGAGGTCAGACAAATCGAAGGAGTCAGTGGAAGCCCCGGTACCTGAAGCGGGTGACAAAACAGCACCAGCAAGAGGTGCAGGGGCCTTAGGAGTGTCCAAAGAGTGGCCAAAAGATGAGGCAAGGTCAGAACAGGGTGCGGTAACAATAAGGGGCCCAGGGGTGGCGGGGTCATGGATATGGGACTCCATGGTTAGGTTACTTCTTTCTTTTTGTTTTTAAGAAAAAAAAAAGAAAGAAAATAAAAATAAAAAAGAATAAAAAAAAAGGGGGGACCGGGGAGGGATAGTTCCTAGGAGGAATGAAAGGGCCAGAAATCTCCCTCCACGCCCAAGAGGACCTCAGCACCGCAAGTAGCGCAGATGCAGCATGGAACCCATGCCATACCCTACCCTTCATGCCAGTAAACCAGCAATCCGGGATAGCAACCTCACATCTGCCGAGCTACCTCGGTGGACAAAAGAGAGGGCGGCCGGATATCCGCCACAAAGCATACCTCCTTCGGCCACCACCCCTGGAATCCGAAAGGTGGCTTCCAGAAAGACACCCAAAATCATCCTCCGTGATACAGGAGAGGGATCGGGACATCCCCAGGGAATCCGGATCCCCCACCAAACTACGCCACCGCCAAGAGCCTCAACGTAATAGGATGGGCCCCAGTACCCTTTCCCCTACCTAGGAACTAGCGCGCCTGTGGGAAAAAATCCCAAAGGCCAAAAAGGAAGGGCAAAAGGGAGGGGTTGGGAGGAGGAGGAGGAGGAAAGGAAAAAGAGGATGATAGGTAGGATGGGGAGGATGGGAGAGGGAAGGGGGGATTGGGGGTAATTAGGTTCAGTCTGAGGAAGGAGACTGACAGGTCTAATTCCTCAAACCAAGAACCTCTTCACCACGCCAAGGAGCCCTCCTTGAAGAGGTATTTGTTTGGCAAAGTGCTGAGCTTTGTTTGAGTAGGGAGCTGGTTGTATACCAAGGTTGCACTGTATATGAATATGAAGCTTAAAGCTATATTATGATTCTGGCTTACTCCTTTGATTTGAGAATTGGATCAGAGGCACCACCAGTATTCACTGACACATTTTCAGATTTATTATTTTCATGAGACATTGCAGATGGGTCTATAAAAGATGAGATGAATTATAGAATTGATGAGGAGAAAAAAGGTGTGTGGTGCACTGAGGAGTCTGTGGAGACAAAAAAACATTATCCATGGAAACAAAGAGGGGAATGTACAAGAGTATAGTTATGCCAACACTCTTATACGGGTGTGAAGCATTTGTGGTGAACGCTGCAACAAGGAAGCTGGAGGCAGTGGAGATGTCACGTGTAAGGGCAATGTGTGGTGTGAATATAATGCAGAATCCATATTTTGGAAATTAGGAGGTGTCGGGTTACCAAAAGAATTACCCAGAGGGCTGAGGAGGTTCAGACTAAGAGAGATGATGGCATGAAATAGAATGACTTAGAGAGCATATAAATCTGTAGTGGAGGGAAGGTGTGGGTAGGATGGAGGGAGTGGGTAAAGAAGCTTCGTCTGCGAGGAGCTTGGACTTCCAGCAAGCATGCATAGGCGTGTTGGATAGGAGCGAGTAGAGACAAATGGTTTTTAGGACTTGACGTGCTGTTGGAGTGTGAGCAGGGTAACATTTATGAAGGGATTCAGGGAAACCTGCAGGCTGGACTTGAGTCCTGGAAGTGGAAAGTACAGTGCCTGCACTTTGAAAGAGGGGAGCTTATGTTGCAATTTTATAACTGTAGTGTAAGACAGTGGTAACTGTAGTGGTAAGACAGCAATGGAGTGAATGATGATGAAAGGTTTTCTTTTTCAGGCCACCCTGCCTTGGTGGGAAATGGCCAATGTGTTAATAATAATAAAAATAAATGCTAAACTCAAGCAAGTCATTCAGCACTTGCATATTTTCCAGGGAACTTAGACTTACTAGATTAGGTATATGTGAAAAATCTATCATTAGAACACTGGCATTTCCAACAAAATAAACTTTGAAATAACTAGACAGATTATACTTTCCTTAAAAGAGTGATTCTTGCTCATGTAGTAGCATTAATCTTTAACTTTAGCTTTATAAAAAGTATAACTACTCCATGGGGAAGTGGAGAAGAATCCTTCTTCCCCAAGCTATGCATGTTGTAAGAGGTGACTAAAATGCCAGGAGCAAGGGGCTGGTAACCTCTTCTGTATACATTACTAAATGTAAAAAGAAGAATAACTTGTGTTTCTTCTTTTCGGAGTCAACCTACCTCAGTGGGGAACAGCCGGTGTGTTGAAAAATAAATATAAGTATGGAAGACACCTTCCTCTCTTAATTGGTCTATTATAGCAACTCCACATACAAGAGTAAGTCACCTGATACATAATGTCTAAATCTTTGTACAAATTGTTTGTTTTGACTTGCTTCAGCTCCAGTTCATAAAAAAAAAATCTCATATGACACCAAGTAATATCTCAAAGTAAAACAACTTTCACAATTTTCATGACTACTCAGTCATAAGGTTTCAAATGCCTTAACTGATGCAATTTTGGAAATAGCTTTAAATAAAGCTCTCCTCAGGTTTCTCTACTGAATGAACTTTCATGTGACGTATTAAGTATGATTTTCGTGAAAAGGCTTTTGAACATACTGAACATGTATATGGTTTCTCTCCTGTATGAGCTCTCATATGAAGTGTTAAAGATAATTTATGTTTAAAATCTTTTAGACACTCTAAGCATTTAAATGGCTTTTCTAGTGTATGAACTCTCATGTGTTGTATTAAGTGGGATTTTTGTGCAAAAGCTTTTAAACACACTGAACACTGATACTGTTTCTCTCCTGTATGAAGTCTCATATGACATATTAAATGTGCCTGTTGTTTAAACTCTTTTAAACACACTGAGCATTTGTATGGTTTCTCCCCTGTATGAACTCTCATGTGATGTATTAGATTTATTTTATCTGCAAACTCCTTTAGACATCCTGAACACTGAACTGGTTTCTCCCCTGTATGAACTCTCATGTGACGTGTTAGAGTTGATTTTTGGGAAAAATCTTTCAAACACACTGAGCACTGATATTGCTTCTCTCCAGTATGTACCTTTAAATGACGTATTAGATGAGAATTTTGTGAAAACTCTTTTAGACACACTGTGCATTTATATGGTTTCTCTTTTGTATGAATTCTCATGTGAAATATAAGATTACTTTTATCTGAAAAGCCTTTTAAACATACTGAACACTGATTAGGTTTTTCTCCCGTATGAACTCTTATGTGACGAATTAAATGTGATTTTTGTGAAAATTTTTTTGAACATTCAGAACAATGATATTGTTTTTGTCCTGTATGAACTCTCATGTGTCGCATTAGATGCGATTTTTGTTTAAAATCTTTCAGACACTCTGAACAGTGATGTTTGTCTTTAGCATGAATATTCATGTGAAGCTTTGATTTTTTTTATTTTCCCAGCAAAAAAATTAAATACTTTGAACACTTATATACTTTCCCTACTGTATGCAGGAACACTTATGAAAAAATGCAATAATTATACACATAGTCCACTAAAACTGCTTCCATCAATTTACCATGCACACAGGTTTTTGACACTAAATACACAGTACTTATTGAAGAAGGCTGAAATTATATTTAACAATGGAAATCATAAAAATGAAATATCAATCGAATACAAATGGACTTAATTTACAACTTGCACTTATTGACATTCACCCATGAAATTTTGATTTTTTTAAACACAGCTTGATAAAGGCTTAGAATTTAAAAACAGCAAGTTAAAGTGTATTAAACTGCAAAAAATAAATTTAAAGAATAACAGTATGTATAACGAGTAGATAAACTTAATATTTTAATCTGAATTTAGTAACCTGGTGCAAGTGCTGGCATTTAATTAACAGTGAGATGGCAGAACAGTTTAAAAACAGTCACTGGAAGTAGAAATACAGGTTTAGCAAGACAATGTATAATACAGGTGGTAAAAAACTGTCATTCAATAAATATGATTCAGATAGTGAACTGTCTAGTAAATGAATTTAGTTAAAATTCCATTTCTTATTACCTTTGAATAATAGTGAGACAGTTTTTTTTTCACATAAATGTGCCACAAATAAATTACATCTAAAGGCTATAGTAGCCAGGATGTTGAGACAAACTTCAAGATACTGTAATATGTATTAATATTGGATATGTATTTCTGACAACCTGTGCTCTAAAACAGTCGATGATGGTGCTATATATCTGCAGTATCTCTGCTATTTACATGAAGATTATGGTACTGAGTCTTGGGAGTGTTAGCATAATTCTTCTTTTGAAAGGATGAGCTGCAAGAAGAAAGAGAGATTAACACAAACTGAAGCTTCTCTGAACTACACCTAAAATCTTTTTTGAGAAACACTCTTAGACACACCAGGAAGTTTCCTGTACAAAGTACATTAAACAGATATGTAGACAAATGGGTAGGCAGAGAGAGGAAAACAGAAATCAGTATAGTAGTTATGATATTTTCTGTCATATAAGATATAATTTTTCCAATAAAATTAAGTCTAGAAAATGCACTGCATATTATATGGTCCTCATCAATAAATATTCCAAAGAAAAGAGAAAAAATACCTTTAATACTATACAATTAAGTTCTCTGGAAACCACTAAACCAAAAAAAGTGTTACAGCACTCAGGAAGTCTAAGCAGTCAGGGTAATCAGGTATGATCCACTACATATATGTGTACATTTAATGTGACCCAAGTATAAGTAGAAGCAGGAACATGTACCTGTTTTCATGTATGTTTATGAGACAGAAAGAAAAGAGACCAGCACTCCTACCATTGTGCAAAAGAACTACAGGTGGTTGTTGTGGGAGGAACTGCTGTCCTGCCAAATGCATGTGAAATGGAAACCTGTAGTTGTTTTACACAATGGTAGAATTGCTGGTCTCTTTTCTTTCTGTCTCATAAACATGCATGAAAACAGGTACATGTTCTTGCTTCTACTTATACTTGGGTCACATTACATGTACACGTATAGGTATTGTGACCCACTACTTCTGAATTTTCTTCTTTCTTAATAGTTCTAGTTCTTATCTATTTCCTTTCATCTCCATGAGGAAGTGGAAAAGAATCTTTTCTCCCTAAGCCATGTGTGTTGTGGAAGGCAACTGGAATGCCGGGAGCAATGGGTTAGTGGCACTTTCACTTGTATAAATTACTAAAAATAAGAAAATTTTTTTTATAAAGTTAAGCCAGCCAAAATGCTTAAATATTCATAAAAAGTTCAGGTGATGCCAAAATGTCTCCCCATAGATGAATTATGTGCTGCCTTTAATATCTGGGACCTAAATTTTTTTTAGGAACAACTAATCTATTAGGCATGGAACTTCCTAATAACTCCTAACCAGTAGGCATTTTTCTAATAAGAAATTTACTTCTGAGGTAATAACAATTAGAAACACTGCATCAGCTTCAGAGACCACCGACTACGTATGGTTCCTGGCACCACTACGTCACATACCAGACTACTGCACTTCCTGACAACTCTAGGACTAAAGAATACTTCCTTCCATCCCTTTGACTCTTCAACTTTCAATTGTGATCCATTGTTACTGTGCCCCATCTCCGGAACATCCAGTTTCTGTCCACTTTGTCAATTTCTTGCAGTATTTTGTACGTCGTTATAATGTCTCCCCTAACCCTCCTGTTCTCCAATGTTGTCAGGCCGATTTCCCTTAGCCTTTCTTAGTAGGACATTCCCCTTAGCTCTGGAACTAGCCTTGTTGCAAACCTTTGGACTTTCTCTAATTTAATTTCCTGATGTGCTTGACCAGGTGTGGGTTCCAAAATGGTGCTGCATACTCTAATATGAGCCTGACGTACACGGTGTACAAAGTCATGAACGATTACTTACTGAGGTATCAGGACGCTATTATCAGGTTTGCCAGGAGCCCATATGCTGAAGCAGTTATCTGGTTGATGTGCCCCTCAAGAGATGTGCTCAGTATTATACTTACCCCAAGATCCTTTTCCATGAGTGAGGTTTGAAGTCTTTGGCTGCCTAACCTATAGTCCGTCTGCGGTCTTCTTTGCCCTTCCCTGATCTTCATCACTTTGCATTTGGTAGGGTTAAATTTGAGGAGCCAGTTGTTGGACCAGGCTTGCAGCCTGTCCAGGTCTCTTTGTAGTCCTGCCTCATCCTCACCTGATTTAATTCTCTTCATTAACTTCACATCATCTGCAAACAGGGACACTTCTGAGTATCCCTTCCATCATGTCATTCACTTATACCAAAAATAGCACTGGTCCTAGGACTGACCCCTGTGGAACCCCGCTCATCACAGGCACCCACTCCGACACTTCTTCGTTGCCTTCTTGTTAAGTATGCCTGATCCTCTAGCATTTGCACTAATCTCTTGTGAGGAACTGTCGAAGGCCTTCTTGCAGTCCAAGAAAATACAATCAACCCACCCCTCGCTCTCTCTCGTGTCTTACTTCTGTTACTTTATCATAAAACTCCAGTAGGTTTGTGACACAGGATTTGCCTTCCATGAATCCGTGCTGGTTATTATTCATAATCTTGCTCCATTCCAGGTGCTCCACAACTCTCCTGATAATCTTCTCCATGACTTTGCATACTATACACATCAGTGACGCTGGTTTATAGTCTAGTGCCTCGTTTCTGTCTCCTTTCTTAAAAATAGGGACTACATTTGCCATCTTCCATACCTCAGGTAGATGCCCAGTTTCAAGGGAAGTGAACATTCAAATGGTATGAAATACCGACAGGTTGTTAGGTAAGACACATATGCAACAGTTAGGTATCTTTATTTCGAAACGTTTTGCCTACACAGTAGGCTTCTTCAGTCGAGTACAGAAAAGTTGATAGAAGCAGAAGATACTTGAAGATGATGTAATCAGTCCATCACCCTTGAAGTTTTGAGGTGGTCAGTCCCTCAGTCTGGAGTATAGAAGAGTACTGTTCCATAGTCCAGACTGAGGGACTGACCACCTCAAAACTTCAAGGGTGATGGACTGATTACATCGTCTTCAAGTATCTTCTGCTTATATCAACTTTTCTGTACTCGACTGAAGAAGCCTACTGTGTAGGCAAAACGTTTCGAAATAAAGATACCTAACTGTTGCATATGTGTCGTACCTTCAAGGGAAGTGTTGAAAATTGTGGTTAGTGGCACACACAGCATCTCTTCTCCCTCTCTAAGGACCCACAGAGAGACGTCCAGTCCCACCGCCTTTGAGGTATCAAGGTCACTTAGCAGCTTCTTCACCTCCTTGGTTGTGAGTAGTTCATCCAACACTTGTTGGTATATCCCTTGTTGGTGTACCCCTCTGTTCTGTCTTCCCAGAGTCCTTTCTGTCTCCACTGTAAATACTTCTTTAAATCTCGTGTTGACCTCCTCACATGCTTCTTGGTTGTTTCTTGTGAGCTCCACACCTTCTTTCCTCAGCCTGATTACCTGGTCCTTGACTGTTGTCTTCCTCCTGATGTGGCTATACAGCAGTTTCGGGTCAGACTTTACTTTCGATGCTATGTTGTTTTCGTACTGTCACTGGGCCTCCCTCCGAATCTGTGCATACTCATTTCTGGCTCTTCGACTAATCTATTTATTTACCTGGGTCCTTTGCCTTCTGTACATTTTCCATTCTCTAGTTCACTCAGTTTTTCCCCCTAAACCTTCGGGTAAACCAAGGGCTTGTTCTGGTCTTCCCATTATTACTATTGCCCTTGGGAACAAACCTTTCATCTGCCTCCTTGCATTTTGTTGTTACGTAATCCATCATTTTGTTTACTGACTTTCCTACCAATTCTCTTTCCCAATGAACCTCCTGCAGGAAGTTCCTCATACCTGTGTAGTTTCCCCTCCCCCCCTCCTTTTGTAGTTTGGCTTTTACTACTCTACTCCTGTTACCCTCTCCACTAGTAACTATACTATGTATTCAAAGCTCAGAACCAAGTGATCACTAACTCCAAGGGGCCTTTCATACGTGATATCCTCAATGTCCAAGCTACTCAGGGTGAACACGAGGTCCAGTTTTGCTGGTTCATCCCCCCCTTTCTCTCTGGTAGTGTCCCAAACATGTTGATGCATGAGGCTTTCCAGTACCACATCCCTCATCTTGGCTCTCCATGTTTTGGGACCCCCATGTGGCTCCAGGTTTTCCCAATCAATCTCCTTGTGGTTGAACTCGCCCATAACCAGTAACTTTGTTCTGCTTGAGTGAGCTCTTCTGGCCACCACAACTAGTGTGTCCACCATTGCTCTGTTGCTCTATTCATATTCCTCTCCTGGCCTCCTGCAGTTCTGTGAGTAGGTGTAGGCATGTGTGTACTCACCTAGTTGTACTCACCTAGTTGAGGTTGCAGGGGTCGAGTCCAAGCTCCTGGCCCTGCCTCTTCACTGGTTGCTACTAGGTCACTCTCCCTGAACCATGAGCTTTATCATACCACTGCTTAAAGCTATGTATGGATCCTGCCTATACTACATTGCTTCCCAAACTATTCCACTTCCTGACTACTCTGTGGCTGAAGAAATACTTCCTAACATCCCTGTGATTGTTCTGTCTTCAACTTCCAATTGTGTCCCCTTGTTGCTGTGTCCCATCTCTGGAACATCCTGTCTCTGTCCACCTTGTCAATTCCACTCAGTATTTTGTATGTCTCTCCTGTCCTCCAGTGTCGTCAGGTTGATTTCCCTTAACCTCTCCTCGTAGGACACACCTCTTAGCTCTGGAACTAGTCTTGTTGCAAACCTTTGCACTTTTTCTAGTTTCTTTACGTGCTTGGCTAGGTCTGGGTTCCAAACTGGTGCAGCATACTCCAATATGGGCCTAACGTACACGGTGTACAGGGTCCTGAACAATTCCTTATTAAGATGTCGGAATGCTGTTCTGAGGTTTGCTAGGCGCCCATATGCTGCAGCAGTTATTTGGCTGATGTGCGCTTCAGGAGATGTGCCTGGTGATATACTCACCCCAAGATCTTTTTCCTTGAGTGAGGTTTGTAGTCTCTGGCCCCCTAGATTGTATTCCGTCTGCGGTCTTCTTTGCCCTTCCCCAATCTTCATGACTTTGTACTTGGTGGGGTTGAGCTCCAGGAGCCAATTGCTGGACCAGGTCTGCAGCCTGTTCAGATCCCTTTGTAGTTCATTTTTTCATGGATAGAGGCATGGTTGACAAATAGGCAGCAGAGAGTTTGCATAAATGGGGAGAAATCAGAGTGGGGAAGCGTCACGAGCGGTGTTCCACAGGGGTCAGTGTTGGGTCCTTTGCTGTTCACAATCTACATAAACGACATAGATGAGGGCATAAAGAGCGACATCAGCAAGTTTGCCGATGACACCAAAATTGGCCATCGAATTCATTCTGACGAGGACATTAGAGCACTCCAGGAAGATTTGAATAGACTGATGCAGTGGTCGGAGAAGTGGCAGATGCAGTTTAATATAGACAAATGCAAAGTTCTAAATGTTGGACAGGACAATAACCATGCCACATATAAACTAAATAATGTAAATCTTAATATTACGGATTGCGAAAAAGATTTAGGAGTTCTGGTTAGCAGTAATCTGAAACCAAGACAACAGTGCATAAGTGTTCGCAATAAAGCTAATAGAATCCTTGGCTTCATATCAAGAAGCATAAATAATAGGAGTCCTCAGGTTGTTCTTCAACTCTATACATCCTTGGTTAGGCCTCATTTAGATTATGCTGCACAGTTTTGGTCACCATATTACAGAATGGATATAAATGCTCTGGAAAATGTACAAAGGAGGATGACAAAGTTGATCCCATGTATCAGAAACCTTCCCTATGAGGATAGACTAAAGGCCCTGAATCTGCACTCTCTAGAAAGACGTAGAATTAGGGGGGATATGATTGAGGTGTATAAATGGAAGACAGGAATAAATAAAGGGGATGTAAATAGTGTGCTGAAAATATTTAGCCTAGACAGGACTTGCAGCAATGGTTTTAAGTTGGAAAAATTCAGATTCAGGAAGGATATAGGAAAGTACTAGTTTGGTAATAGAGCTGTGGATGAGTGGAACAAACTCCCAAGTACAGTTATAGAGGCCAGAATGTTGTGTAGCTTTAAAAATAGGTTGGATAAATACATGAGTGGATGTGGGAGGGTGTGAGTTGGACCTGATAGCTTGTGCTACCAGGTCGGTTGCCATGTTCCTCCCTTAAGTCAATGTGACCTGACCTGACTAGGTTGGGTGCATTGGCTTAAGCCGGTAGGAGACTTGGACCTGCCTCGCATGGGCCGGTAGGCCTGCTGCAGTGTTCATTCGTTCTTATGTTCTTATGTCTTCGATCGAATGAATTCTTCTCATCAACTTTACATCATCTGCAAACAGGGACACTTTGGAGTCTATTCCTTCCATCATGTCATTCACAAATACCAAAAACAGCACTGTGTGTGTGTGTGTGTGTGTGTGTGTGTGTGTGTGTGTGTGTGTTGTGTGTGTGTGTGTGTGTGTGTGTGTGTGTGTGTGTGTGTACACTCACCTAGTTGTACTCACCTAGTTGAGGTTGCGGGGGTCGAGTCCGAGCTCCTGGCCCCGCCTCTTCACTGATCGCTACTAGGTCACTCTCCCTGAGCCGTGAGCTTTATCATACCTCTGCTTAAAGCTATGTATGGATCCTGCCTCCACTACATCGCTTCCCAAACTATTCCACTTACTGACTACTCTGTGGCTGAAGAAATACTTCCTAACATCCATGTGATTCATCTGTGTCTTCAGCTTCCAACTGTGTCCCCTTTTTACTGTGTCCAATCTCTGGAACATCCTGTCTTTGTCCACCTTGTCAATTCCTCTCAGTATTTTGTATGTCATTATCATGTCCCCCCTATCTCTCCTGTCCTCCATTGTCGTCAGGTTGATTTCCCTTAACCTCTCCTCGTAGGACATACCTCTTAGCTCTGGGACTAGTCTTGTTGCAAACCTTTGCACTTTCTCTAGTTTCTTCACGTGCTTGGCTAGGTGTGGGTTCCAAACTGGTGCCGCATACTCCAATATGGGCCTAACGTACATGGTGTACAGGGTCCTGAATGATTCCTTATTAAGATGTCGGAATGCTGTTCTGAGGTTTGCTAGGCGCCCATATGCTGCAGCAGTTATTTGGTTGATGTGCGCTTCAGGAGATGTGCCTGGTGTTATACTCACCCCAAGATCTTTTTCCTTGAGTGAGGTTTGTAGTCTCTGGCCCCCTAGGGCTGTACTCCGTCTGTGGTCTTCTTTGCCCTTCCCCAATCTTCATGACTTTGCACTTGGTGGGATTGAACTCCAGGAGCCAATTGCTGACCAGGTCTGCAGCCTGTCCAGATCCTTTGTAGTTCTGCCTGGTCTTCGATCGAGTGAATTCTTCTCATCAACTTCACGTCATCTGCAAACAGGGACACCTCAGAGTCTATTCCTTCCGTCATGTCGTTCACAAATACCAGAAACAGCACTGGTCCTAGGACTGACCCCTGCGGGACCCGCTGGTCACAGGTGCCCACTCTGACACCTCGCCACGTACCATGACTCGCTGCTGTCTTCCTGACAAGTATTCCTGATCCATTGTAGTGCCTGCCCTGTTATCCCTGCTTGGTTCTCCAGTTTTTGCACCAATCTCTTGTGTGGAACTGTGTCAAACGCCTTCTTACAGTCCAAGAAAATGCAATCCACCCACCCCTCTCTCTCTTGTCTTACTGCTGTCACCATGTCATAGAACTCCAGTAGGTTTGTGACACAGGATTTCCCGTCCCTGAAACCATGTTGGCTGCTGTTGATGAGATCGTTCCTTTCTAGGTGTTCCACCACTCTTCTCCTGATAATCTTCTCCATGATTTTGCTATACTATACATGTCAGTGACACTGGTCTGTAGTTTAATGCTTCATGTCTGTCTCCTTTTTCAAAGATTGGGACTACATTTGCTGTCTTCCATGCCTCAGGCAATCTCCCTGTTTCGATAGATGTATTGAATATTGTTATTAGGGGTACACATAGCACCTCTGCTCCCTCTCTCAATACCCATGGGGAGATGTTATCTGGCCCCATTGCCTTTGAGGTATCTAGCTCACTCAGAAGCCTCTTCACTTCTTCCTCGGTTGTGTGCACTGTGTCCAGCACTTGGTGGTGTGCCCCACCTCTCCGTCTTTCTGGAGTCCCTTCTGTCTCCTCTGTGAACACTTCTTTGAATCTCTTGTTGAGTTCTTCATATACTTCACGGTCATTTCTTGTTGTCTCTCCTCCTTCCTTCCTTAGCCTGATTACCTGGTCCTTGACTGTTGTTTTCCTCCTGATGTGGCTGTACAACAGTTTCGGGTCAGATTTGGCTTTCGCTGCTATGTCATTTTCATATTGTCTTTGGGCCTCCCTTCTTATCTGTGCATATTCGTTTCTGGCTCTACGACTGTTCTCCTTATTCTCCTGGGTCTTTTGCCTTCTATATTTCTTCCATTCCCTAGCACACTTGGTTTTTGCCTCCCTGCACCTTTGGGTAAACCATGGGCTCATCCTGGCTTTTTCATTATTCCTGTTACCCTTGGGTACAAACCTCTCCTCAGCCTCCTTGCATTTTGTTGCTACATATTCCATCATCTCATTAACTGGCTTCCCTGCCAGTTCTCTGTCCACTGAACCCGTTCAGGTAGTTCCTCATTTCTGTGTAGTCCCCTTTCTTGTAGTTTGGCTTCATTCATCCTGGCTTTCCTGCTTCTCCCTCCACTTGTAGCTCTACTGTGTATTCGAAGCTTAAAACCACATGGTCACTGGCCCCAGGGGTCTTTCGTATGTGATGTCCTCGATATCTGCACTACTCAAGATGAATACTAAGTCCAGCCTTGCTGGTTCATCCTCTCCTCTCTTGTAGTGTCCCTTACGTGTTGGCACATGAAGTTTTCCAGTACCACCTCCATCATCTTAGCCCTCCATGTATCTTGGCCCCCATGTGGGTCCAAGTTCTCCCAATCGATCTCCTTGTGGTTCAAGTCACCCATGATCAGGAGCTTTGCTCTGCATGCATGAGCTCTTCTGGGCACTCTAGCCAGTGTGTCAACCATCGCTCTATTGCTCTCGTCGTACTCTTGCCTTGGCCTCCTGCTGTTCTGTGGTGGGTTATGTGGGTGTATGTGGGTGTGTGTGGTGTGTGGTGTGTGTGTGTGTGTGTGTGTGTGTGTGTGTGTGTGTGTGTGTGTGTGTGTGTGTGTGTGTGTGTGTGTGTGTGTGTGTGTGTGTGTGTGTGTGTGTGTGTGTGTGTGTGTGTGTATGTGTGTACTCACCTATTTGTGGTTGCAGGGGTCGATACAGAGCTCCTGGCCCCGCCTCTTCACTGATCACTACTAGGTCCTCTCTCGCCCTGCTCAATGAGCTTTATCATACCTCATCTTAAAACTATGTATGGTTCCTGCCTCCACTACATCACTTGCCAGACTATTCCATTTCCTGACAACTCTATGACTAAACAAATATTTTTTTACCATCTCTGACTCATTTGAGTCTTCACCTTCCAATTCTGGCCCCTTGTTTCTGTGTCTCATCTCTTAAACATCCTGTCTCTGTTAACCTTGTCAATTCCTTGCAGTATTTTGTATGTTGTTATCATGTCTCCCCTAACCTCTACAGGGGTCAATCCTAGGACCAGTGCTATTTTTTGGTATATAAGAATGACATGACACCTTAACCTTTCTTCGTAGGAGATTTCCCTTAGCTCTGGAACTAGTCTTATTGCAAACCCTAGTACTTTCTCTAATTTCTTGATGTGCTTGACCAGGTGTGGGTTCAAAACTGCTGCTGCATACTCCATAATGAGCCTGATGTACGCGGTGTACAGAGTCTTAAATGATTCCTTACTGAGGTATTGGAATGCTATTCTCAAGTTTCCACCTTTCTCACTGCACACACCTCTACTAGTTTTACCACTTTTCTTGATCTAATATCTGCATTTGATATTGCAAACAGAACCGTTATACTACATGAACTAGCCAAAATGAATATTGGTGGTAGCTTACTCTGCTGGATAATAGGATACCTGCCAAATAGAGTATCCTCTGTCCTCTACCAAGGCTTTAGAAGTGAGTTGAAAGAAATGTCTTTAGGTACACCGCAGGGAGGAGTTCTTAGTCCCATGCTATTTAATATTCTGATTAATGCTCTCCTAAATGCTCTACCTGCCTCACCTTAACATATAGCTATAAGCTATGCTGATGACATCATAATGCATACAACAGGGCATAAGAAGATGAGCACCATTCTTAATGAAGTTCAAGCAATTTGTAATCGACTAGGCCTCATAATATCTTCCTCTAAAACAAAGAAATTAACATGCAAACGACATCCCCCACTCATCTATTTGCAGGGTGAAAACACTAGCTAAGCTAAAACTTACTGATATCTTGGTGTAGATGTACCTTTTAACAAATACCACAAATAAATAAGAAATGCAAAGATAGGCTAAATGCTCTCAAAGCTGTTGCTGGCTACAACCCCAACTATGGTGCTAATGTGAGAATCGTGAGAATGATGTACATAGCCTATGTTAGGTCTTTAATTGATTATGCTGCTCCCATGTTGATATTAGCTAGAGAAAGTTCTCTCCAACCCTTAGAGTTAATGCAAAATGAAGCTCTCAGAATTATTCTTGGGTGTCCCAAATCTACAAAGGTTCTTAATATGAGGAAGGAGCTTGGTATTTCTAGTATCAGTGATAGGATTGTTGAGATTAACACTGCATTCGATATTAGAATGTTAAGAAATGAAGCAGACACTGTCACAATGAATCTTACCAAGCATCTAGAGGTAAATACACACAAATCTAAATGGATTGTGAAAACGTGCAATTGCATTAAGTTTTATAACCTGCATGAACTGTATCACTGTAGGCAACAAGAGCATTTCACCCCTCCATGGAAGATGTGTTCATTTAATTTCACATACCTGCAAGTCCCTCCCAAGCAGCTCATTGCTAGTAATCCCTTCCTTAAATCACTTGTTAAAGCAACTGCTCAAGAAGAAATTTCTCACCTAGCTGGTAGTAATAAGTTATCACAAGTTATATACACTGATGGATCTAAACATGGGTCTTCTGGCAGGGCTGCATCTGCTCTTGTTGCCACCTCCCTAGTTAAGAACGTTAATATATTTGTTGAGTTAGGCATATTAACAACTGGGCGTCTACATTGCAAACTGAATTGTTTGCAAACCTAATGGCGCTAAAGCTAACCTATGAGACTGAGCTTGA